GATATTAGATTATAATAAGCATAAGTTGTTTTAGGCATGCATCAAGAAAAATTATTAGGAAAAGACAAAATATTTATTGGAACATAAAAAATTATGAATATAAAGGATTATTATTAAAATTTGGGATTTACCTCCCCCAAATGACTGTTTTTGTGGAACCGGGGATTGATTTTAGGCCCTTGTGCTTACCAGGGAAACACTTATTCTCCTGAGCAATCTCCCTGGCCCCCCAAATTACTTTTAATTTGTCAATATTATATGATCCAGTCAGAATCTCAACTTTATTTGCTTCTTAATTTTTAAAAAAATATGCCATACAATCTGTTATATGTGAAAAAATTTGTCATGAAAATTTGAAATTAATTACCAACACAGTGTATTGATAAAAATGTTCTCTCTTTTTCCCTTGAGAAAGGAATGTATTTCCTTATTATACCACCAGAATAATAATCACATAGAATACCAACTGATATTGATTCAACTAATAAATTTTGAATATTCATTCTTTGGTTGCTGTAAAAGCAGTCTCTGCATTCTTTCTTTCATAGTCAAATCCTGACCTTACTCATGAGAAAGGATATAATCCACAAAGCTCTCAAAATACTATTATAAGGGCTGGAGAGATGGCTCAGTGGTCTAAAGCACCTACTTGGAACAAGCTTGGTAAAGCACAGGGACCGCAGTTCGATCCCCCAGCACCACATGCCAGCCAGCCCTGCCCCCAAGTGGGCTGAGCTGGCCACACACACACACACACACACACACACTAAATAATAAAAATGTTAAAAAAATACTATTATAAGCAGTAATTGTACCATGGAAGTAAGTGGTATCATTTACTATAAGGAGAACACTTCTTCAGAGCCAAAGTGCAACCAACAAATGTGAGAAAAGGTCTAGGAAAACAATGTTGGGACACCAAACCAGCAAAATAGTGAGGCTAGGACCTCTGTAAATTTTCTTTACCCATAAATGCATGCACGGAAGGGCAAAAGTTCAGAAAAATCAACTTTTGGGAGCTTTGGCAATTACCTTTGTGTTTGCAGTAATCCAGGAAGTGATTCAGTCAAGGAAAACATCTTACCTGGGCATGGTGCACACCTGTAACCCAACAGTACGCCAGAGGCTGTGGGTTTGAGGCCAGCCTGGACTATGTAAGTGGGTTCAAAGTTAGCAGTATATAGTTAAGACCTTGTCTCAAAACAAACAAACAAACAAACAAACAAACAAACAAAATAAAATAAAAACATGAGAGCCAGCAAGATAGCTCAGCAGACTAAGCACCTGCTTCCTGCTTAGGCAAGTGCAGAGACTAGGGTTCCATCCCCGTATCACATCCAATGCTGGCCCAACCATGGGGCACACTGAACAGGCCAGCAAGACAGGGCATGGCGGTACAAGCTTATAATCCCAGTGCGGAGGAGACTGAAAACAGGAGGGTCACTATGAGTCCAAGCTGCGTAGTGAGACCCTGTACCAAATACAAGAAAGAAAGAAAAAGAAAGAAAGAAAGAAAGAAAGAAAGAAAGAAAGAAAGAAAGAAAGAAAGAAAGAAAGATGGACGGAAGGAAGGAAGGAA